CTGCAAGACTTACAGGTCTGTGCCCTGCTCCTCCGTGCTCATCAAACTGATGCTGCTCTGCAAGCAGCAAGACTTGGCAAGACTCATGGCCTGCCCCATGCTCCTGTGGGTGTCATGTCAGCAGGCTGCTGTGCCAGTGCTGCTCTGGGGCTGGCAGTGGCTCTTGTCCCTTCCCCTGGGCCCCTGTGTTTGATTCTGGGTCTGTATCTGGCTCTCATGGCTGCAGGGGCACCTCTGGGCTCAGCAGTAGCACGAGAGCTGTTGGGGTATGAAGCAGGAAAGGCCTGCATGTGCTCAGGGTGACTGGAGCTAGCTGGGCCTCTGCTGTGATCTTTACAGGCTTGATGAAGATGGCAAAGTCCTCACTCCAGAGGAGCTGCTTTACCGGGTGAGTGCTGCCCAAGCCCAGCCAGAGCCCAGCTCCTACTCTGGGGATGTTTCCTGTGGAGATTGTTGGAGGGAGATGCTCCAGAGTCTCCCAGACCTTCCCTTAGCCCCTCTGCTGCTATCAGGGGGCACTGGGGGGGGCGGGGGGAGCTCCAGGGAGGGCAGCATTTGGCTGCGTTGCTGAAGTGGCTGCCCAGCAGTAACCACACCTTCCCTCCCTACAGGCAGTTCAGGCTGTAAACATGACACACGATGCTGCGCATGCACAGATGGATGTGAAGCTTCGTTCTCTCATCTGTGTTGGACTCAAGTGAGTCATCTGGCCCTGGTACCCTCAGCATTTTGGCTGCAAAGAGCTTGGGAAGGGGCAGAGTGGGCTTAAGGGTAGCAGTGCTTTCACTCTTAGGCCACTGTTTTTCCCCCCTCTCACTGCAACCACTGGGAGAGACCTGTTCCTTGTGTGTTGTGCTGGCCTGATTCCTAGCTGGAAGATGGAGCTCCTGTTGTATGGAGTGGCTCACACAAGTTTATGGGGTTATCCTGTTCCCACTGGGGACAGTGCTGTGGATGGGGGTCAAGGCTTGGGCTGAAAACAGACTACCCCAGAGGGACGGGGTTTCTTTTCTGGCTGCAGCTGAGTAACAAGCCTATACCCCATTGTTGCAGTGAGCAGGTGCTGCATTTGTGGCTGGAGGTGCTATGCTCAAGCCTGCAGACTGTGGAGAAGTGGTTCCATCCCTGGTCATTCCTGCGCAGTCCTGGCTGGGTGCAGATCAAATGTGAGCTGAGGTGAGTGTCCCAATGGCATGTCCCTGTGCCAGTGTCTGGAGTAGATTTCCTCTTCTGAAGGAGTTGCCTGGGTTCAGCCCATCTCCAGTGAGTTGCAGCATGGGCTGCCCAGACATCTCAGCCATAGAGATTTCCTGCTGTGTGCTGAGACAGCAGGAAATTTCTGGACAGTTTATTTGTGAGGCACTATGCCTGCCTGATCCAAGAGCAGAGCTTGTCTTCTGGGGTCCTGTTGTGACAAGGAGGCAGTCTTTGCCTGCCAGCAGCCTCCTGCTGTAAACCTACTCTGATGGAGAGTCTGCCTTTTCAACCCCACTGCTTCTCCATGTCCTTTGCTAGGTACTCTGAGTCCAAGCAGGGAGCAGGGAATGTGCTAGGGAGACAGTTGGACAGTCATTAGCTGGGAAGGAGTCCATCACCCACTGATTTCTCTGGTTAGGTGAGGGAGTGGTGTCAGGGGCTCAAAGCAGCTTTAGTGCCTGAGCTTGAACAAGGCAGTCACTTGGAGGCCAGGGCACACATCCCTGGGGCTCCGGGCATCCATGCTCCTGACCCTCCTGCACTCTGCAAAGCCAGGTGAAGTCCCAGGAGCTAGAAGGCACATCCCCTGCTATCGCCTGCTCCAGCCTGGTTCCCGCTGTGGTTCAGTGGAAGCTGGCTTTTGTGTGCACCACCCACTTGCCTTAGGTCCCAGTGAGAGCATCTGTAGCCGGAGCAGGCCTGTGTGTGCACACTGCAGGGTGTTGTGTTCTCAGCCTGCTGCTGACTGGGAGAGGGTTTCTGCCACCTCTGGGCTGCCATGTCCCACAGCATGGGGGCAGTGCCAGTTGGGCATAGCCAAAGGACCAAGGGGGACTGGTTAATGTCTTACATCCTACTTCTCCCAGCCAGCAAGGGAGCTCCCCGTGCTAGCCCCTTAGAGCACTTCTGCTGGAGGACACTTCTCTTGCTCCAGGGAGAGGGAGGGTGCTGCAGAACTCTGAGGTGCTGCAAGAAGGGGTCTGCTTTCTGGAGAGGAACCTGCCATCTGCCATGGCAGCCCTCAGCCAGGCGTATCTGCTGCCCGGGGCTGCCCGTGCCTTCCTGTACTGCTGCACCAGGCTCTGTAGGGGCTGCACTTGAGTCACATCTTCAAGCTCCTTCTTCCAGCCTGGGCCTGGGAGGATGTGAAGCCCAGCGAGGAGGAGAAACAGGGAATAAGTGACTGCTGCTGTCTTTTCAACACCATCAAACAAGGAATTTCATCCTTGTAAGCTTAGTGGCATGCCAGGATAAGCTGGGGAGGCAGTGTATTTGTGTGCCTGGAGCAGCAGTTGTGTGGTGGGAGTGTGGTCTGGGGGATCTGTTTTAACATTGCTCTCTTCTGGCTTTGTTGCAGAGTCCTCGGCAAATTTGCTTTCAGCCTCTCTCAGGACTGGGAGCTGCCAATAAAGAGGGAGGTGAGTAGGTGGCATCTCTCATTCTCTCACTGAACCAGGGGCTTCACTTAACTGCCTCCCTCTCCCAGCTTTGTGCTTCAGCCCATTCTCTGGCTTCTCTGGAGCCAGCTCCAGAGGCTGTGGATGGGGCTGCTTTCCTTGCCAGGGCAGGCTGTGCAGCTGGAGCTGTGGGGCAGTGGTGGCAGAGGGGTCTGCCTGCCCTGCACACATGGGGCAGAGGGAAGTGACAGGCTCCCCCTTTCCCCCGTGCTTTCCAAACCAAAGGCCTCTCCCTGTGCCAGCTGTGCAAAGGTGGGAAGTGCAGGAAGCTGCTCTGTCTGGGTGCCAGATCCTTGGCATGCTCAGGCTGCCCGCAGACGCAGCCTTCCCCTTTTCTGGGTGTGGTGCACTGACCCGGGTCTTTGTGTCATCCTGCAGGAGAAGGAGAAGAAGCCACTGAAGGAAGGGGTGCAGGACATGCTCGTGAAGCACCATCTCTTCAGCTGGGATATAGATGGGTGACCCCCCACCCCACGCCATCCTGGGGACCTTCTTGATGGCCACAGTCTTCTCCTCCACCCCATCATGTCTCACCCCCTGCCCTTCCCCACCCCACCCAGTTGTATCTGTGACAAAATCCCCCCCGGGGGCTGCCAAACCACCTGGGACAGATGGAGCAGTGCTGAGACACTGAGCTGCAGACCCCAGGGGGCTGATAGTTGAGGGTGATGCTGCAAAGGTACATGTGTGTTCTGGCTACAAAAAGCAAGTGCCCCCTCCCAGCTTTCCACATTCTACCACCCCCATTTTTTGCTTTCCTCAGCTCTGCCTCCCCACTAGTGCCCAGGGGAGCAGCCTGGCTGGAGCCATTGTGCCCTGCCCCATGGACCGGCAGTGATGTGTGGGGATGTGAGCATGTCTGTGGCTGGAGCTGTGGGGAAGAGCTTTGATCCATGAGAGCCACTGACAGTTTGCACTGCAGGTGCATGTGGAATTGTGCTGGTGAAAGACTCACTGCTGCACAGGAGCAGGGAGAGCACATCCCCTCCGTGCCAGCCAAGGGCTTCCCTCTGCTGGGGGACATGTGGACAAGTTCCTTTGACCTGGAGCTGAGAAAGGGGAACTGGCATCAGTTTCATCCCACCTCACTGGCGCTGGTGTGGGGCGTTGACAGGAGTTGCCCAAATTTACCAGCCTGTTACCACTGTAACAGCCTTAGGGGATGGTCATTGTCTACTGTGGGAGCAGACAAAAACCACCTCTCCTCCAAACAAGAGTGTTTCATGCTGTCATTTTAATCTCTAGATGATTTTTACTGTTAACCAAAAAGCTGTAAATTTACTCCAGGAACATGTATATTTTGGCACTGTTGTAGCTCAGGACAAAGTTTAGGTTGGAGCTGGCTCAGGGAGATTAACTCGTCCTCCTTGCCCTGCGATGGCAACAGGGACGTGGGTCAGGAGTGGAGAATTGCTGCTTTGTGGTGGTGGCTCTGGATATGGAGTCTGTGACTTTCTACTGAAAGCGCTTGTCTGTGAGCACAAACTACTGATGGGATGACACTAGATTCTTACTTTCCTTTATTTGGTAGGTTTGTAAATAAAAACTGCGTCTTGGGAGAATGCTGGGCTTTATCTTTTTTTGACAGGGCCAGGACTTGGTTTAATTTTTCCTTTCTCGCATTTGACAATGGTGATCCATTTCTGTGCTGGCACCGAGGGAGCTCCTTGCATTGGAGCAGCCCACAAGATCAGGTAGCAGCCAGGGCAGAGCCAGTTCTGCTGCCACCAGCCCTAAGAGCAGGTCCACAGCAGAGCCCCAGAAAAGCCAGAAATACTGGAAACTATGGGTTGTAGGGACACTGCAGGGGGAGGACCCTTAGAGGAAAGGGAGAGGGGCTAGCAGAAAGCAGGGCTGGGTGGTGGGGACAGCAGTGTTGTCTGTACAAGTGTCTCTGGAAAAAGAAGGTGTAAGCTGAGCTGCAAACTGGGACAGTAACAGGGCACTGGGAGAACTTGGGAGAACTGTGTTTAGAAGTCCAGTCTTGTGGGAGGATGGAAGTTACAGCATATGTTCTGATTTGAACACGAGTGTCTTCAGTGAAAAGTAATTCCTTTGGAATGTGGCTGTGGAAGGGGCAATGTCACCTCACAACCACCTGTAGTCCTGACCAGACTGCTGGGCTGGGGGAGACTAATGGCTGTCCCTGATAAAACCTGCTTCTGGTTGCAGCTTAGGTAATTTCCATACACTGAGGGAATCTCCCTGCAGCTGAGCCACCACCACTTAAGCTGCTTTTTTCAGGTTTGAGAAAGACACAGAGGGATCACCCACCCTTAACTGGAAAAGGCAGAATGGCCCCAAGTCCTCCCACCAACATAGCAGAGAAGTTTTTGAGAACGCGGCTGTTTGGAATTTTTTTAATAAAATGGACTTTTTTTCTTCAAATATTTGTAACTGAAAAAATAATTCAATTTAAAGATCCATTCTCTCCCCCATTAACTTGTCACTTTTATCCTTTTCCAGTTGAATACTCGCTCTGGATCTGATGCCCCCCAACACCATCCAACTCTGATGGTGCTGATCACTCCTCGCCATTGGCTGCATAGTGGAAGGGAGAGTGCGTGCTAGTCAAATACACATTACAAACAAGTAGTGGTTACAGCAGAAAGATTCAGGATTACATTCAAGGTAGAGGCAGAACATCAGACTTTGTTTTTCCCAATGGGTGCAAAAATGTATGTCCAGGGGAATACCTCTTCCAACAAAGAACTATTGAACTATTATTCAAAGAAATAATAGTAAGAAAGCAGAGAACTGGGCAAGCCTGCTCTGGGCACTGTTTGGGGAGAAGACTTTCTAACATTTCTGGGGCTGAGGCACCACCTTGCCTTCTGCCTACACACACAGGATTAGTGCTCACTCTCCTGGCAGAAGCCCCCTTGTGCACAGGGGCTCCCACAGGTCAGCCAGGCTCCTCAGGACATGAGGCTCATGGTTCTCTATCATCTGGGCTCCTTGAGGCTCTTCAGGCAATGCAAGTATGTTGGGCAAAGTCAGGGTCACTAAATTCCTACAGTTTCACACCTGATGGTGGATGGGTGAAGGTAAAAGGGAGCAGCTGTGGAATCAGCCTTCCACCAGCAATCTCTGGGAAGGGCTACACTGCTATTAGGCATTGGCATCTCTCTGCCAATCACTGGAGTACCTGGCCCAGGCAAGGAAGCAGGGCTGGGTCAGGCCAGGACTGCAGCTGGAGCGCTCCCACCTTCCTCTAGGAGCTCATTGCACTTTATTGATAATTTCCTCCTTTATTTAATAGTTGCAGAATTGTAATTATTTGTACCAAAGAAATCACACAGCTGGTTTTTGTGGAGGCTACTGCAACTATGGGCTAGAAGAACCTGATTTTGCTTGAGTTTGACAAACAGGCAGCCTCACTTTTTCCCCCTAGCATCTCAGAGGTCCTCCCACACTTTCCTCCTTAGAAACTCCTTGCCTCTTGCCCCCACAGCTGGGCAGCTGCCCTGGCAGAGCTGGTGAAAGCTCTGTAAGGTGATTGCTAAGTACTCACTGCTCCCAGTGAGCCCCTGGGCTGCACCAGGAGAGAATTCAGGGAAGGCTCAGGAGGATAAAAGGGAGTGCCCAGTAGACCCTTTTACTCTGATTTTTAGGATGTGACACTGTAGCTTGAGGAATAGAAAGTCTGTGGGGAAGGGGGGTGGTATCCTCCCGCCCAGACACTGAGGGAGGCAGATAAGAGGCTCCAACTTGCTTACAGCTCAGGGCCAGAGGAGAGAGGAGGGGAAAAGAAAGGAAGCTGCCAGCAGGCTTCCCTTGCAAATGATTAAGAAAGTGGCTCCCCATGCAGTTAACAAGCAAAGGGCTCAGGAAAGCAGGAGTTACCTCTCAGCTGCAAACAGGCATGACCCTACCCTGCTGCCAGTTCAGTGGCTGAGGGAGAGCACATTGTGCAGGGCTGGCATTCACCTGCCTCACCATGGAGCAGAGGTACCAGCACCCCTGTGGCACAGCCTCTCCCTGGGAAGAGGACCAGGTACCAAAGTTGCAGGGAAGCAGCACGTGGCTCACAGCTACCCCTCCCCAGCAGGAAGCTCTGCAGCACAGCGTAGGGGAAAGGTGGGAACAGCATCCTCAGGGAGATAAACTGAGAAGGATGGCAGTTGATCCTTTCATTGCCTAAGCAGGTCAGTACCTCAGTCTGCATGACTTCAGAAGCCACAGTTTCCCCCACCTCACTCAGCGTGAGCGGCCTGGACCCGGCTCAGGGCCAAAGCAGGGACAGCCTTGTGGCAAGGTGGCCACATCCCTGTAAGCCATGTCACTCCTGCTCAGTGTGGCTGTGAAATTCTAAAGTAACAGGAGTAACAGCACAAGAGCGAGCCACAGGCCTGGTGTTCTACCACAGAGCCCAGCTCAAGGAATAGCATCATCATGGCTCTGAGGTCCTGGGGGCTTGTCAACCCACTCCTTGGTCTGCAGTTCCCTCAAGGCACCAGTCTGGGCCCCTACAGGGACACAGGGCACCAGCTCAAAGTAAGCAGCCATTTACTTTTACCTTGTGGGACTGGAGGGAGGGAAGAGCAGAGGTCAGCTGCCCAATACTTGTTTTCAGGCTCCTCCCCAGAAAGGGGCCCTCACAGTCACTGAGCCAAGACCTGTGCCACACAACACCACTCATGCAATCCCACTTCCCCTTCCTTGCCTATGGGGTCCAACATCCATCCCCAGCTGCTGCTTTCCACTGGGGCACGTGCTACAGTGAAGCATCCAACACAGCGAGGGCAGGAGACAGATTGCACATGGCCCCTAATGATATGTTACTGATTGCCAGCTGTGCCCCTCACCTGCTCCACAGGACACGCAGGCGCCTTTGTGTCCCTGCCCAGGCTGACTGCCCTGCTCACCTGGGGATGTCACGAGTGCCATGGGAGCTGGGGGCAATGGGCTGTGCCTGACAGCATTTTTAACATATAAGGACCTGATTTTAGCACCTTAAAAAACTTTTGCAGCCCAAAGCAAGTGAAGTTAGCAGGCAGGCCAGCAGGCCTCTGCCAAGCTCAGCAATATTTGGGAAACCAGCTTAGACGTTACCAGGTTAATGGGGAGTCCTGGTTCCCTTTGGCTACATTTAGAGAAGGTGCCTGTTCTGCCCAGCTCTTCCCAGCCCTGTGGCAGATCAGACCCTCCCCTGACAGATGGCAGGTGGTGCAGAGGGCAGCTGCTCTGGGCCCCAGGCAGCCCTCCTGCCTTTGTGTCCTGCTCCAGAGGTAGAATCCCCTTCCACAACCGTTAAGACCGACTGTGCTGGGGCAGCACAACCCCCTTTATCCACCAGTCCCAGGACAGCACAGAGTGCTGCCTCTGGAAACAGCTCAGGCCCAGTTGTGCTCTGTCCCACGTGAGGGAACAACGTGCTGCCATTGCTCCTGCCTGGAGGAACAGGGGCTGTTGGCTCTGTTCTCACCCTGGCTGGGCCAGGCTGTGTGGAGTGGGCAGGAGGCACCAGCACCACAACTCCTCCTGTCCTCCTGCCTCTTGTCCCCCCCAGCAGCCATTCTCCCTGCCCTGGCCTGGCTCACTGCCAGCTTCACGCAGGAAGGATACTGTTAGGGGAGGAGTACAAATACTAGGAGCTCTTTTTTTCTTTTTTTTGGTTGACTGGCCTCTTCCCTCTGCATGCCTTTGCCCTCCCACACCCATTCCCTTCAGTCTCTGCTCACAGAATTACAAGCAAGAATCCCAGTGCAGCTGCAGATCATGTCCATCAAGAAAGTCTGTGGAAAAGAGGCTGGGAGCCGTGGTGTTCAGGGGAGCCAGGCTCATGACAGAACCCCCTGGCAGCTCCAGCCAGTCCATGCTGTCCAAGTTAGCCTCAGCCAGATCCAGGGCTATGCCCCCAGACGGCTCGTGAGCAAAGTGCAATTCCGAGGTGTCCATAGGTGAAGGCGGGTGGTCCAGGATGGCCGAGCTGCTCAGCATCTCACTGTGGAGGTCATCAATGAGGGACAGGGGCTCTGGCCCATCGTGGCCTGCCGTCAGCAGCGGGAGGCCAGTGCTGCTCTCCAGGAAGTCCTCCAGCCGCCCTGCGAGCACCGGCTGCCCCAGGGACACCGGCACCGCCAGCTCAGAGGAGTGGTGGCTGCTGGGCGGTGAGGAACAGGCTGGGGCCACAGGTGGTTCTTTCCCAGCTGGAGATGACTGATCCTTGAAGTCAGCAGAAATCTCTGTAGAGGGAACAAACAGGTAAAAGAAAAGTCTGGCTGAGCACCAGAAGGATCCCTCCCACCCACCAGGGCCACAGACACCCCCCAGACTAAGCCATCACTGACCACCAGCTGGGATGAGGAAACATCCTGTGCCTGTGCTTGCCTCACTATGGGGAGTTTTCAGCCCACCTCCACAAAATCCCATCTCTGTCCAGTATCTCAGAAGCGATGTGCCTGAATCTGATGCAGCAGAGCCATCAAGAGTCACAGAATCATATTAAGGCCTGACTGACATCTCTCTCCGTGCTTTAATGACTACTGCCATTGCTAAAGGCAGTGGAAGGGACACCGGAGAAAAGAGTGAGGTCATGACAGACTCTCCCCTCAGTGCTCTGCAATCCCCAGACTCAGACCCAGGGAAATGCTGGCTTTATTGCCTTACCTCCACTTTCAATGAGGATATCAAACAGGTCATCCATCTGCTGGCTGGAACAGCCATTCTCCTGCAAAGAGCAAGTGCAGGATTAGCTTCCTATTTACCAGGGGAACTTCCACCTCCAGCAGCACCCTTGGCTGCTGGCTCTCCCTTGCCCCAGGGACAGGGCTGTTTTCTAGCAAAAATGAGCATATCATGACATGGCACAGAGTCCTCTGTAACCCAGGCTGTTACTGGCTGGGAAAGTATGGTCAGCAACAGCAATTAATTGCTTGGGATTTTTCACCTGTGATTTAGGGCCCACCCCAAACCCTCCAGAGGAAATTCAACAAGAAAGGTGCAGTTGTGTCTCCATTCCCTATCACTGGGAATTCACTAAGTAAATTAATAATGACAATTTTTCATCTGCTCTCCAAGGAAACCAGGGAGAATAACTGTTCTCACCTGGGCCTTTGGCTGTTGCTTCACTGCCTCTTCATAGCCAGGTGGTGGCTCTTTCATTGGGACTGAGGGAACTGGAAGAGGAGGTGGAGGAGTTCCAAAAAGCGGCGTGTGCTGTTGCTGCTCCAGGTCCATCTGGGAAGGGGAAGGGGCAGCAGGAGAGCCAGGCTGTGATGAGGACTGTTTAGAATGAAGGCAAAAGAGGGAATGAATACAAATCAGGGAAAAGTCTACATCGACTCCTGTCTCACAGCTGCTTTGAGACCATTACCTCTCTGAGAGCACTTCACAGCAGTCTGCACTGCTCAACCCACAGCAGCCTGCCTCCTTCCCTGGACTCTCTGCACTGTGCCCTGACAACAGGGGAAGAAGACAAATTTCCCCTCGACTCACAGCTGGAAATCTTTAGCTGATTTTTCCAATGCTAAAGCAGCCACACCACAAACCACCTCTTCACTTCTCCTGGAAGGGGAGATCCTCATCTATCCAAGCAGGGGATTCCTGCAGCACTTTGGAGGGAAAGGGCATTTCCCTTGTGTGTTCAGCCTACTCTCTGCAATACATCCAGGGCCTGTCTTCTATCCACCTCCCTCTACAGTGCATGCTTTGGAGTCACAAGCCAGCTTCACTTAGCAGCAAGTTTCACAGCCTGCTGGTGGGCGGAGAGCACCAGAGCACGCAGCAGCACCAGAGCTCCATAGGAAACCCCAAGTGTTGCAGGAAGTCGTGCTCATGACTCAGCTTTACCAGATGAATCAGCACACAACTGCCCATAAGGGCAAGGATCAGGCCTTTCTCTCTACAGCAGCTATGCCTGACCCACACAGAAACTTGCTCCCCTAGAGCAGTGAACCCTGGGCAGCAGCTGAATGCCACTTCCAACACGTGTATGCATTAATGCCTTTGCCCCTCCTATTTTCCCTGGAAAGCTGCTCATTTGTTGTGACCCACAGGTAGAGGAGTGACCCCAGACCAGCTCTGCTGGGATCCACTCTTCATGAGAAGGACTGGAAACCATGGCACAGGCCACTGGGATGTGCTGGGAGGGTACCTTTTTTGACACACTAGGTGGGCTGGTTTTATCAGAAGTATCAATTTTCAGCAACTGCTTATGGAAACCATCGGGGAAGAAAGGCTGCAGGTTTGGAGGTGCTGAGAAAGACAACTCGGTGTAGGCCAGCTGCCCTGTGACCATCTGCAGACCTGGCTTATGACCCCACAGGGAAGTAAAAGTATTGGAAGAGTCAGTACAGACACCTCTGCAGGCACAAAGGCTAAGGAACTCCAAGGAAAGAGGTGCATTTATCTACCGTCTCCACTTTCTCCAAGGTCTCTAAGCAAACCAAGGCACCAACCCTTTGCAAAGTAGATTTCTCACTCTAAATATACTAGAAATTACTTCTGTCTTCATACCCTCTCCAGGAACTGATTCAGAAATGATCCTCCAAGCTCTAAAATCTTCATAATCTTTCTGTGTTTTATCTTAATTACAGTTTAGAGAGGCTAAGGAGGCTAGAAAGGATTGAAATGTACAGTATAGCCTCTTTACAGCCAGCATAAAGGCAGAGGTGCTCTCTTTCCTGAAGCAGTATAGCACTTCAGAAAGTACTGATTAACTGGCATGCTCAGGGCAGGGGAACAGAAATGACAGCGTGCTCAGAAATACCATGGACTACAAGGTCACAGCCCTTTTACCCCTCTGAGCTTACATGCCCCTTCAGAAGCAGCCACACTGCCCACACCACCCTCTCTCCATGCAGCAGCCACCTCTTCTGTTCAGCAGCAGTCCCTTCAAGAACCTGAAACACCCCTGTGAATCAAGGCTGCCCACTCCAGCCCCTCGTTATTTTTAATCCGCAGACAACACCCACTGGAATATGGTACGTTTGTACCCACTGCCTGTGGGTAAAAATGCTGGCAGCAGGCAAAGAAAACCAAGGGAGGAAAGTGAGCAGGCAGTGAGCTACCTTAGATTGGTTTGGTCCTCTGGGCTGCTGCTGCTGCTGCTGCTGCTGCTGCTGCATGGGCTGCTGAGGGGTGTTTGCAGGTACCTGACACGGCAGTTGGCTGGAAGTTTTAGCGGGTGATGATTGTACGCTCTGGAAAGAAGAGGTATAACATAACACAGAGTAAGAGGTTATTTCTCAGACATGACATGGATACAAGGCTTAGGTTTCTCACAGTTTGTTTTTTCCCCACTCTTTATTCTTTATGAAATTCCATCCTTCTCTTTCCCTGAGCAGAGATATCAGACTGGATGTGACTGAGAGTCCTAAGATATGAGGTAGTACCAGCCTAAATCCCTGGGCTACCCATAACACACCTCAAGGACTACCAGACCTGACAGAGGAGCTGTGCCCTTGCAGAGCAGCGGTGGAGCTCAGGTGAGATACTCTGGGGTTTCAAGGTTGACAGTGGATGCTGATGTTTAGACAGCTGCCAATATCTCACCTGCTATGCAGCAAACATAGCCTGCTCAGTGCCTGTCACTGATGGCAGGCACTGCCACTTGCTCTGCAGAAAGTGCAAGAAATGTATCAGCAGAGAATGAAAATTATCTTTGATGTCATGGAAGGTGCTGAGGTTTGACTTATGCCATCAAACTTGGGCATATTTATCCCTTCCTGGAAGGACCACTCGGAACACTTCTGTTAAGTGCTGAGCTCATGCCAGCAGGGTAATAGTAAATCATTTCTGATGAAAGACTCTGTTAACACTGAAATACTGACATGCATTAAAACAAAGAGCAGCCAAAATGCAAACGGTCTGCTCCCAGGGTCTGATTTCACCTCTTGGTAGATAAGATGACCCATCTATCACTCCAGCTATGATCTCTACAGTTAAGGACAAGAGGTGAAATACACTCTGCTCATTTTAATACCATGGGCGTAGTTGTTCTTTTAAAAGCCAGTGAACTGTGGCAGCAAACCCTTGTAGTCCAAGCCCAAGTCCAAGTCCTGACAAAAGGCAGAACCATGTGTTTGGAAGAATGCTGAACAGCCTGTGATGCACAGAGCCAATCGTGCATTGCTGTACACAGCTCATCATTGTCAAATTCCAGTCTTTTTGCCAAAGATCTGCTTACAGTGCTCTGTTTTACAAAGCCATGATCTACCAACCACTGCAGTGAGCAACTCAGCCCTTTCAGTATTTACTGCACTGAATTTCCACCCTGTGAGGCCATCCTATGATAACCTGAGTGGGACGAGGAGAGAGGAACCCAACTGCCCACAGCAGTGATGGAATCTGACCCTTGCCTACCTGCAAGGGTGGGCAGCTGCTCCCTGCCATCCCATGGGGAGAGAGGCCCTGCCTCTCGGTGCTCTGCTTGGTCACGGTGAGGACAATGTGGGTCCCTGTGGAGTCAGTGATGAGGGTGGGGGGAGGGGTGCCCTTGATGAGGGTGCTCCCTTGCTGGCCAAGGAAAAGCCGCGGGCTGTGGGCCTGGCACAGCGGCTCTGCCTCCTCCTGTTTCACCATCACAGCTTTCTTTGGCACTGGGCTTGGATTTGAAGTGTCCATTTGGCTAGCGGTTGGTGCAGGGCTGAATTGGTCTGTTTGGCCACTGGATTGCTTCGCACACTGGCAACTCAGGAAACCATTTTCACTCTTGACCTGGGCACCAAACGCTCCTGGTTTGGAGGCGAGGGCTGTGCCTTCTCTCGTGGCTGTTGGGGCTGGCTGTGACTGCTGAGAGCGCTTCTCCTGCTCCAGCTGTAGCCTAAGCATCTCCACCAGCTGCTGCTTCTGTTTCAGCATGCGGGTGAGTTCCTCAATCTGCTTGTCCTTCTCCTGCAGCATCTGGTCTTTGTCCCTAACTCCTGCATCTCTGCTGTTACCAGCACCACACCACTCTGACTTGGGTGCCACATTTATGCTGCAGGAGGCGGACTTGGAGCTTTCTTCCTTCACCAAGAACTGCACTGGAGATGTCTGCAAGGTGAGCTGGGTCAGAGGTGAAGTCACCATCTCTCCAAAGGTATCTCCAGTGCCCGAGTTTTCATCCCCTGTACTCACTTGCGAGCGCTCGGAAGGAGTTGGAGAAACAGGAGGAGTTGAGCCTGTGCTCCCAAACTTCATCACACCACCACCAGTAACTGTGGCCACAACTACTTCTGCTGGTGCAATGCCAGTGGTGACCAGGGCTGGCCCTGTGCTCAGCCTGGCAGTTGGGAAGGCCACCACCACTTCAGCAGCTTTAGGGAGGACGGCTGCTGCGCTGGGCTTGGGAGTGGGGGTTGTTTGGCCGGCTGCACCATTCTGCTCTTGGTAAGCTCGGAGACGCTCAATCAGGTCCGTCTTTGTGCCCGAGACAGGCAAGGCCCTCAACTTCAGTTCTTGCTTCAGCTCTGCTACCTGATAAGGGGGGGGGAAAAAGAGGGCAACATTAGGAGAACTTCTAACTGAACAACTATCAGTTAGATATCGGCAGCAACATCGTTCAGTACTGCCCACTGACAATGGCAGAAAGGGTCTGTTCAGCTTCACAGGGCATTTACCTTCATCTCATCCAGGTTGGCAGGGAGAGGGCCAGGCTTGCCCACCACAGCATTACTGTTTTGTCTCATCAGCCCACTAGAACCAGAAGATACTGAAGATGTGCTGCTGACTGTAGCAGAGAGACTGCGTACGGCAGGAGCACTGGCACCACTCTGCTGCTCTCCTGAAGGCCTGCAGGAAAAGAAAGAACACAGACATCAAAACCACAATGGAAATACACCAGAGGCCCTCAGTATCCACATACACGTTCAGAAACATCTGGGTCACTAGTGTTGCCCTAGACTCTAAAGCACATCAACACTCTTGACTATATCCATACCCCTGCTGTGCCAACCGACTCATTCCAGCTGCTTTTGTCTGATTCATCTCTCACTGGCTCTTTTGAGGCCCTCTGGAACCTACAAGGCTGAGTGTGCCACACCTGTCACACCCAGTGGCTGCCCCTCACACCCAGAATACCATGTCTCTGGTAAGAGTGCTGGTAAGTGCTTGCTAAGAGACCTGCCACTGCGGACCCATACTTAGGTGGGGCTGGCAGGATGGTCTGATAGTTGTAGTGCTGCTGCTGCTGGTTGAGGATCTGAAGCTGGAGAAAGAGCTGCTGTTGCTGCAGTATTTTGGCATAGGATGAATCCATGGGAGGAGCTCCCTTGTCCTGCTTTTGGTCCGGGGGAATATACTGATGATACTTAAGCTTCTTGACTTTCGGCTTCAACTCCTTGGCTTTTTTACTGCGCTGAGACTTCTCACTAGCAGACTTGGGCTGGCTTTGCTATTTAGAAGAAAAGGAGGAAGCAAGTAAGAATGGAAACACTGATATAATGTAATATCCCATGTAAACCAGAACACACACTGGGATTTTAATTTTGAAATTCTCTAGTTTGTTCACCTCAGGGTCTTTCCATGTTTCTCTAACTGAGACATTATAGACACTGCACTGGCAGCAGCTTATGCTGCACCATAATGCAGGTCACCTTTCCCAGTACACCAGATCATTTGCTCATCCAGTGCAGACTCATTGATTCTAATTATAGATAACACTGATTGTTTCAAAACATTTTGCATTTAGCATCCATTTTGAAGAAGATGAATACACCATGGAACAGAAAACCCCGTTAAATATGTTACAATAGGAAGACATCAGTGAGAAATGTTTCCTTCCTTTGCATCTGTTATGCTAATACTTCCAACTCCAAACCTGCTTAAAAGTAACTTTCTTATCTTCCTTTAGACTACAACAATGAAGACATCAGCCAAAATAGTACCTTAATGAGTGTTGGTGGGGGCTTGGCAGCAGTAAGAGCCACTCCATTGGTAAGACTAGGGGGCAGAAGAGGTGGAGGTGGCAGTGGTGGAGGTGGCTGCTCAGGTAGGAAAACAGTTTCACTGGAGTCTGCGCTAATCTGCAACTGGGATGAACCCTGCAGGGACAGAAAAAGGCATAATGAGTACACACACGAGGAGAGAAATAGTTTAACAGAGTGCAGGAAGTGTCCACTTGGAAGGAAGGAGCATGGGCTTCAAATCTTTAATCGGATGCCTTTAACCCACTGCTTCAGTTGTCCCTGAGAAGCAGTACAGCTTCTTAGGGCAGAAAAGGAATCAAAATCCAACACCTGTATCTCCCAGCATTTCCTGGGAGTTGTTGCACATAGGCTGTATCACCAAGCAATGGCTGCCCACTTCCCCACAATGCACACCATGAGGTTTTGTGAATAACCAGAGGAGGATGTCACTAAGCTAAGACCCCTTGTGAAATCTCACAGACTATACCTCTTAGGGAAGACTTAAGTCTCACTTTTTAGGCTCCTCTCCCACAAATCAGCATGAAGCTCCAGGGCACTGCAGGAGGCCTCCACATTCTCACCTGAGCTAGTGATGTACCAGTGGTGCTAGGGAGAGGCTCACAAATCCGGGAGTCCATCGGTGATGGGACAGACCCTTGGGACTCATGGCTGGCTGGCTGTTCTGGGGAGAGGGCATCACTGCTGTCCTCATCAAAGGAGGAATTGTCTGCAACCTTTGGGTAGTTCACCTGTCCAACTAAAAACACAAACATCAATCATGGTCTGTAAAGTGTAATAAGAAATTACTTGGCTTGACATTAGAAGTTTCACAAAACAATGATGGCATGGAGAGAGCTGTGCTTAAAGCACCAGCTGAAAATGAGATAACAGAGTCTAAACTGGATCAAGTTTAAGAGTTTACATGTGGACTGGGGTGAACCATTACCCTGGCTTGCTAGCCAGGAAAGATCAGTGCGTGTAAGTAGTGATACTCAGGTCTGCCAAAACCCAGCTCTGTGGCATGACTTATTTCCACCAAAGAAGAAGACTGGACAGTATAAGGTTGAATCATGGCTTTTTTGGTGTTCATCTTGTGTGGTGGAAAGTAGAATCTCTTGGATTCTTCCGTCTTGGAAGACAGAACCCCAAACTGTCCTCTAGTCTTACAAGCAATAAAGGCTGTGTACTAAGTGATGGCCCTGGCTGCTATTAGCATTTCTGTCCATCTAAGTGCCCAGTAGATAAATTCACACGAGTTTACACTTGTAATGTACCAAAATTTTTTTAGACTACATTTTCTCAAATTAATCCTGCTAAGCAGAGAAATACTGTCATTTGCACCTCACCTAAAATCAAGAGGAATCCAGAAATGTATTTTGCTCTGTCAGAAGGAAGCCAAATCTCTTATGCTTCAGTTCACAAGTTCACCCTTCCTCAACTACTTCTTGTTCAGTGAAGCCAGGCTCTCTCACAACACTGTCCTCCTTTTTTATGGAAAGTATTCCATCTTACTCACATTTGTGTCCCATTTGTCTTTACAGTAGCTGTGCGTGTTTGAGGGGATGAATAACCACAGACACACAGCTCAGTCTGGGGAGACAGGAAAGAGCACTGCTGAGGCAGCAGGAAGGCTATTCCTCAAGCATTCCTTTCAGCCCTTGGAATGGCACTGGCATGATTTACATCTGTTCTGGTTTATTTTTAAAGGGGTTGAATCCTCTGAAGTTTTTGAGTTCACAGACATCTTTTGTTTCATCACACCTGTTTATAGTCTGTCTCCCCTCCTGACCTAAGTCAGTGGGTTCTCCCTGACCAACAGTGTTGACATGTCATACTGAGAGAGGGATTTTAAGGAGACAATCTAAGGAATACAATCTTCAACAGCCTTTCAAGTCTTTAGGGTATACAACTGCTTTCATATTAATCTGGAATGTCCACATTCCCTATAATTTAATGTCTCCATAGCGTTATCTGGGCCAGAGGGAGATCTGCTTCTGTAAATACTTGGGCTGAAAGCCTGTGATTTTGGGCCAGGAAAATGAGACCAGTCTCTTACACATGCAGGTGAATTGATAGGTAATCACAGTCACATGTGGGAAATGCCCTCGACAAAGATCCTCCTCTGACCTTACCAATAATAGCTTCCTTCAAGCTCGATTCTACAGGCAAGATATTCTTCTCCACCAGCTCCATAGGCCCTGGCCTCTGCGCTATCTTCTCATTGAGGTCATCTGCCAGTCTGGCTCTTTTCAGCTTCAGCTGCTTAGCCTGCAAGGAGGGTTCAGCTGAGGTCTCTGGGGGAAGTAAATAAAATGGTATCAATCCAACAATGGTCAACCCATGCCCTTCAGCAGTATTTTAATTCTATTCAGAAGGGTAACTGTAGATAACAGTAGGTAACTGCACAGAAAAATAGTTGATAGATAACAATAGGTAAATATGCACTGCAAATATATAACAGATGTTATGTCTGAGATAACTACAGTAGCCCTTTTGACAAATTCACTGTTCTCAAATTGATGTCACCCAATTCTTGTTCATCTTTTCCCCCTGGCTGTGCCCCAAGCTTGGTGCTCAGCAGCAGCATAGCAGTCCCTCTCTGAAGCTGAGGTTTGTTATTAATCAGATCAAATCTGCCTCAATCCCTCTTGGGCATTTTACAGTGTCTTTCCTTAGCAGAAGAGCAGTCCATGGTCATTCTATTTCATTGTTGCTCAGTTATACAAAACTGCACAATTTGAATTCACACAACAGATTTTTCTGAGCATAATCTCCGAGTAAGCAGACTTGAATCCTTCTCAAGGAATCATGCAACAGGCATGATCTTCTGCCCATTCCCAAGTGGAAGGCAGCTTTGGAGGTCAGAGGCAAAACAGAAAGCTGTTAAACAGATAGTTACGATAAAGTTTATTGTTGATGCTTTCATGTTCAGCACTTGCCATACCTTCCAGAATGTGCATCCTAACCAGCTCTGATCTCTCGGGCCGGGACCGGATTTTGCGTTTCAGATAGTCCTCTGTCTGCAGCAAAAACAGACAAGCAAGAACCACTTTCAGCTGATCTGACACAGGAGTGAGGGAATCTCAAACAGCACAATGAAAAGAATCAACCACCTTTAGCTGTTACTGAGCTCTAAATAAGCACAAAATGAAGAAAGGACCTATCTCCTGTCCCAGTGCAGCCAGAGAATGAGCTTAATCTAAAGATGACCTTCTATTGTAATCACCTCAGTCAATTGAGCAATGCTGTCCCACAGAACAGACACTGGGAAGGACTTCCTCAGGAGCTGAAATCCTCTTTTCCCCTTGCATGCACCACCACTAACTTGTGTCAGGGAAACAACCATGAGATTTCTTTTTACGTGAAAGATAAATGCACTGATTCCACTGTTCACAGAAAATACTTTCATGTACTGCTGGCATTCAGAGCTGACTTGTGGTTTGGGCATACTCTTTAATTTGATTAAAGACATGTTATTTGTTAAGCTAAAGACCCCATGCAGTCTCTTGGGGGGCAGAATCTAAATGCTGTGACAAGGCTTTTTTCACTCCTAGAGCTGCTTTTAGCTCTGTCTTTGGAGAAAGTGCTACGGAGCGATGTACAGAGATGACCCTGACAGGCTGAACATGTTACTCTTTACGCTGCCGAGGAATGGGAATCTGGAAGCAGCAGGTAATAGACTGGTAAGTACTAGACATTAGGATGGGCCTTTGAAGAAAAAAGTATTTAAGTCAGTCAGAAAACTGCACCATTGTGGTCAGCTGCCCACATAAAAATATTAACTTAGTAAGGTTTTAGGGAAAAAAAAAAGAGAAATAAGCAAAAGCCCTTTGGTCACTGGTCTTAATGCAAAGTCCCCTGTTGCAATCCTTCCACAGTTTAAATAGCCTCCCTTACAGTTCTTAATCACAGTTGTTATTTTTTTTACCTTTGTTGCTTTCACTTTTAAAACAAAACTTAGTCATAACAAGTTTCACTCCCCTGTAAGCTAATCAGAAAAAATATTCCCAGAGGCCTTTTGAGGAACAGAAATTACCAAGAAACTCCCCAGTCAGAACAGGTGGCACATGAAGTATGATGCCTGGTTTCCTGTTTCTGTAGAGCCAGAAGTCCGTAATTTTGGCATCACAAGATTTTTGGGCAGATCCTCTCTATTCAATTTTCAATTTTTCTGGTCTTCTAAGTAAAAATTGCATGTGCAGGTAACAAAGAAACTTTCCTCAAAGGTGGAACTGAGCTCCACATGGTAAGAACATTTAATAGCATTTAAGGGAAAAACAAAAACCATTAAAAAAAAAAAAGAAGACAAGTGCCTGGACAGTGGGGAAGAAGAGTATCAGCCACTTACAGAAAGATGACTCTAGGGAAAATCCACACACCATTTTCAATGGGCTTTAGGCATAACTAGTTCACTGAGAGTTAACCAGCACCACATGCAAGCTGCAGAACACCCCATCTAATGCAATTCTGACTACAGAAAGCTGTGTTACATCCAGAATATGAACACTTCCCTTCTGCATCTCCTTAACAGCTACAGGATGCCCAAAACACAAGACATACTATTCTTGATTTTCCCAAACCACTAAAGATTATATTGCATCTTACCCTGGCACGCTCCAAACTCTTTCTTTGTTCATGAAATGCAGCTGGACTTTTCAGAGCTGTGGAGAGAAAAAGCATTTAGAAAATTAATTAGAATGATGGAAGTTATCTCACTGCACAACCCTTCAGGCCAACTAAGTTAACAAACACACCACAGCAACTGCCTCCTGCATCTTCCAACACACTGAGGCAGATCTCCAGCTGGTACAAAGCAATGGAAAGTGCCATACTCCATCTGACAGCACAGGGACACAGGAACTGATGTGAAATTTTTGTGGGCCACTGGAGAGTCTAACAAGTGTCTACTAGTACACTCCTAGTTAAACTAATCACTGTTCCCAAAGTTGGGTCCAAGAACAAGATTCAAAAACAGCCCCCCAAAAAAGCTTTTAACAAACTTCAACAGAGAGTAAGATATCCAAGACCCTTGTGGGAATGGCTCTGAAACATTGAAGAGGTCAAACTGTTAGAAGAATGAGGGGCAATGCTAATGAACTGTAAATCCCCTTTACTATCTTCTAATGTCAAAGGAAGCTGCAAGGCTTTCCTGAATCTGGACCTGTGTTTTGTACACATGCAAGGACTGGCTGCAAACCCTTCAGGTCCACAGGACACATACACTGCTCCCTGTAAGAGGAGAACAGGGATGCTTGGAAAGAAAAGTACATCTGTCTATTGACAGAAAACCACAGCTTGAAGCATTAAATTCAGCTCTCCACAGAACTGACCTTCTCACCCCCTTGGGCCCTGTTTAAAACCAGAGCCAAAATGGATCAGGTTTTAAGAAACTGATCCTCTGCTGTCCAGGACCACACTAACCCTGGAGGAATCTCTCGCTCTGCCTGGCTCCTCTGGAGCACACAAAGCTCACGTCCCACAGTAAAACCAGAGGGGTGGGGGGCTGATGGTGTCAGTAGCTCCTCACAGTTTCCCTGAAGCTGCAAGTAGCTTGTTTTTTTAAAAAATTATCACACAGTGGCTTGTATAAAGTAGCTGAAGGGAGCATAATAATTTCTTTTGATATTTCTAAAATACTCATATCTTAAAATGTCTGAATTACCATCCAGCTAAACAGAAAAGTTAAAGAACTTCAGCCTTAAAGATAAGTTGCAAGTCTTTTGAAGACAGAAAACTAAGCTAGAGTTAGGAACTCTGACGTGTTGCATCTAGGTCCTGTGAAAAATAGTCTGCTTGATATTATTTTTCACTTAAGACCAGTGATTAAGAATTTCTCAAATACAAGTTCAAAATGAGGTCTCAAAAGACTTAAAAAATAAAAACCCCTGCATAAATGCACTGTAAAAAACTACTTCCAACACATGTGGAGCCTTCCACGCCCTTTCTTACAGAATGAAATGGAGTAGCCACAGAAAGTTTTAAGACACATTCTGTGAAATATAGAGAGTCTGTCTGATACCAAGATGATTTTTGCCTTTTCTTTTATATACCTTTTTTATCATTTTTATGTATTCTCAGTATTATTAGCACGCCTACTTGTAAGTCCTTAAGTCTGATAATTTAGCATTGTCCTAGTATTCTGTTAGGTCAGGAGACCAAACATCCTAAAGGCCTCACAGCTGAAGGCCAGAAAGCCCTACACTATCTTGGGAAACCAAGGTCCTCCCTAGAACATATCCTGTAAACTAAAGGTTTGGCCAGGGGAGAATTCCTCAGATGGGGGAATATCACACCATTCATCCAGGTCTCCCACTGGGGCATCCTTGTTAGATATACTAATTTGTAACATCTGTAAGTTGTATTCGCTATCTATGGTGTGTGTAAATTGCAACATATCCCACCTCAGTGAAGTGGTGCACTATAAGGATCCTTATTAAAATACTGAGGTGAAAAACCCTTATCCCTTATCCGTGTCTGGCTCTCAAGTTTTTAAGACCAGGGAAAGGCATCACTTCTAGGTTCACATCAGTGGGGTAAGAAGTAGAATTCAGTGCACATGGCAGGAATTACGAACATGCCAGCCATCATTGATGGGATTTGGACTACAGACCTGAATGAAGAATAATCTGTAGAATAAATTAACAATAACTGAAAACCACAGTGAGTGTGTATATAGAGCCCTACAACAATGGGGCAAATAGTTCCTGCTCAGATTAGTTGCATAAATCTGGTTACAGAGAGAAATCACCAGAGAAAGTTACCCAAGCTGTGAAATGCACTTTGAGATAAACCAGAGATATGGTAGGGATATTGTTTTGCAGTAACTACAAAAATAAGGCAAAAAACTTCCCCATCTAGCTGAGGCACTAACAAGGCCTCAGCTGATGCCTGCAATGAGGTGACCTGGGCAGCCTGACCACGGCACAATACTCTTTTCAAGTTGAGTGAGCTTCTTGTGAATACGCATGTGCTTGAACCTGAACATGCTTTCCTTTCATTGTGGGCGTCTCACACAAAAGCAAAATAAAAGCTCAGGTCCACTTGGGCAAATATAGCAAGCAATATTTAAATCTGTATAAACATCTACCCTGGAGACAAGCGAAGCAGAATTCATCTTGAGTCTTCAAAAGCTCTCTACCAGAATGCGCAGACACAGCAGTAATTTTTTACTCTCCCTTCCCGCCTACCTCTGCTGTCAGTATGAGGCAGCAGATGAACTTTAAGTGACATTTCCCTCACCACAGCTAATGGTCAGAAAAGTCAACTGCAGGAGTTCAGCTGGTGTCACAGTAGTCCAGGAAAACTCTTGCATACAGAAGAACAAAGCAAGAAAAGACTCCCTGAGTAGGAAAGAAGAAAAACATGTATGCATTTAATAGTAAGTAACATGGAACTGCTACAGGAATAGTGTTGTAAAGAACACTTTCAGTCTCTCATGACTAGTCCTCTGGAAACGTGCACTGGGATGTAGCTCATGTTGGACTGGCAACATGACAGAGGACTTCATATTTGACCTCTGAAAATGTCAAGAGGGCACAAATCCTTCACTGCTTCCCTCAGCAATCTAGGATGAGGTTGATATGTCAGAACAGGGTGTCTATTGTAAAATCATACTCCATTTGAAGTTAACTAATCCTTGCACATTTTTTGGCTTTGAAATGACTACTTAGCCCAGAGCTGTGGAGCAGCTCTGTTAACTTTACTACAGCAAATAAAACAAAGGAAAAATAATCCTATGAAGATCTCGGAAGCAATAAGGCTCTGGGTGAACTCTAAAGGAGACCCTAAAATATGCAGATTTGCCCATTTTCCAGCTCCTACCACTGCCCTTCTCAGCCACTTAGCACCGATCCCTGCAAAACTGTTCTTGTGCCTCATAACCCATCTGGCTGCTCACCAGAGTGCTGCTTCATCCATTCCACTCAAAACTATCCAAACTGATAAAGCTGTACCGTTCTCAGCCGTATTAGCTGTGGTGGCTTGTTCTGGCAGTGTATGTGAATAAGTGGCTGAGCTGGTGGAGCAGAACCTGTGCAAACCAGGGGGTGTGGGGCAGCATTCCCACTCTGTCCACAGCCCTTAGGACCTAAAGTATCAGATACAACCACAGAGGGTTAGGGATGAGGAAATTCCAATCATCTGATGCTTTCTGACTGCTCAGCCTGCATAAAATACACTAAACTATTCCTTACAGTAGTTTGTCTAACCTGTTCTTGGAGACCTCTCATGAAAAAATGTATTATTATTGCAGAGAAATTATCCCACTACACAAATGTTTTTACTATTTAAAAACCTTTCTGAATGTCTAACTTATATTTCCCTTCCTACAATTTATACTCTTTGTTCTCCACCTTACCTGCATACATTACAGAGAACAATTTATTTTCTTCCTCTTTGCATCTATCCCTTTTGAAAACTTTGGTTCTCCTACAATCTTCTGATATACAAAATTACCAAAGCCAGTTCCCTTGTAGTAACATTATCCAGACCTTTGCTTGTTTAGTCTCTTTTGGCCTCCTTCCATTTAAGGTGCATTTTTGTTGAAGCCTAGTGTCCAGAACTGGGTACATATTCCAGCCTAGGCTTTACTGGCTGTTATAGAGTTAAATGATTATTCAGTAACACTCCTCAGCCACATGTCCCAGCCAGTTTGCCTTGTTTGTGTCCATAAAACAAACAGTGTTCACTTGTGCTTGTTCTCAAAATCCACTTGTCTCCAATCCTCTTCTGCAGAGCTGGTACCAAGCCAGCCACTCTTCATCCTCAATTCAAGCCACTGACTAGGCATTACAAAATGTAGACACTCTGCCTTTTTCTTTCATTTTATTCCACAGTTGTTGGCTTCTCCAAACATTGTTGGGTCCCAGTCCCGTCCTCCTCCCAGCCTACTAATCTGGAGCTTAATAAACATGCAGACTGCTCCTCTGTTTACATCAAATCACTGAAAATACCGAATCGTGTCAAACACTGATTTTCTCCCTTCCCATCCCACCCAACAACTCTGCTCAACTTAACCTCCCAGTCTGACACCAAGTCTTTATTCCAATCCTGTTCCCTCACAAGTTGCATAAGCAGCTTCAAGTAGTCCCAGCTTGCTTCCAAAAACATCAGGAAAGGCTGCTTCAAGCACCTTACTAAACCCAAGAAGTGCAAAAACACATTTAATACCCTGAATTCCCTGGGAAACATTTCAACAAATATTTAGTCTGCTGGTAGATCCAGGTTCAGTAATGATCTCTTTTCCCCCACATTTCTATGTCCCACGTGTTTCTGCCTTGCCGCTGATGGAGAATTGGAGAATTGTACTGCACAGAGAGCTCTACTATGGAACTGTTGCCATAAAGTATCTCCCACACCCCTCCATGGCACTTGACCGTCTCCAAACTTAACCTGAATCCTTGATCTAACTGTCCAGCTACCTCTGAGTGAGCCCTGATGAGAACAGAGTGCTGCCAGAGGAAAAAAAAAACACCAAACTTGCCAAACTACAACAGTAGTATGAGCTGTTGGGTTTTTGTTTTCCACTGTACGCAGAAAAGCAATAGTTGACAATGCATAAGTAACTTCTGCAACGCCCAATTTCAGTTAGGTTACCTCCTGCATGTCTTTTGATTTTATTTCTAGATGATATGTACATAGCATTTTCAACCTCAGTAACCTG